ATCTCCGGCATTGCCTCTTCCGGATCGCTCGATGGATATCCGAGTTGCTCCAAAGGAACATCGGGATTTCCGAACTGATTCGGAACAGTTCCGGGACCTGTCGGAGGTGGTCCCGGAGGTTGTCCACCCTGATGATCATCAGGGTTATCACCCGGTCCATCACCAGGCGGATTCATATCGTAATCATCTGGATCAAAATACTGCTGTTCCCCCGAGACTGGATTTGGCTCATAAGCCATATCATCATCCATCGGTGGTCCGTAGTCTGGAGGTTGATCCCTTGGATCCTCTAGAGCTACTTCATCAGGAGTCACAACGCGCTTCACGGCGCCTGTCGTCTCTGCCTCGAAAACTATCATACTCCAATGATCTACCAAAAACTGTTCATGATGAGGAGACAGTTGTGACACAAACATAAAGAAAACCTGATGGTATTTTCCTGGCTTCCACATAATCAACACTGCATCATCTTCAGAATTGAAGAGAGGATGCACTCTACCAAAAGTACCACGATAAACCTTACATCTCTCAAAATACATCTGTGGCAAGGTTCTTCGTCTAATCTCCTTCAGGCCTGGAATCAATGACACAATTCGAGAATCAGAGGATGTTGTCACATCAAACTCTGATCTCTGAGGTAGTGCATCGACCTGCCTCAAGGTTCTGATCAATTCAGTGGTGGTGAACATTTGTGGTAGTATATGTCGAAGTGGAACCGGAATCTCCGTCGTCTCTTCCGTTCTTACGGAATTCAGCAAAATTGACTGATGAGCTTCTCTTTCTAACAAAAGAGCTGTTCCACACAAACTTCCAGAGTCATAATTCTCCAGAAGATCTTCAATAAGGAAACTCTGACGCTTATCGGAAGTCTCACTATAAGGAAGAAAACGATTCATCTCAACCAAAAATGAGAACGGAAACTTCTTCCAGTCTTTGACAAGCCGGGGAGGGGATCCGCTCGCAGTGTTGCTGTCTGGCAGTATTGATGGTGCGGCTAGGAGTGCCCGTTCGGGTGTGTGGTTTGTTTCGCCGGGTGCCCCACACATCCTGCGCCCCCAGGGCTCAAAATGTCTACCCGGTTGAGAAGTCGTGTTTACCAGCAGAGCCCAACAGGTCACATCCATGGCTTTCCATTCTTAGTGGTGGTGTCAAGCGGTGTGGTCGTCACAGAAACCGTCGAAGACGGCTCTTTCGCTCTAGCTTTCAATATTCTCCTTCTGGAGGCCTCAAGCTCGGTACAGTAAATGCCCAGGGTCTTCAATGGAACTTAGTCGCTCATGCTTCCAAGCTTAAGGCTTTGATCGTGACTGCACAGACACATGCTTTTGATGCCGTTTTGGTGTCCGATCTTCACTTTCATGATCTTCAGGTTCACATCGTTTATGTTGAGCAGTTTTGTCTTATTTGTCGGGGTGCAGTTGGTGTGTTATTATGCAATAATCTCGCTCAGCAGTGGGAATATGGGGGTCGCAAACTCTTTGCACACGATCAAAGTGACCGTGTCCTTGGTGTTGGTCTGACCGTCCATGGTCGCTCACTTGCCTTGGTCGCCAATTATACCCCTGCGGGGGGGCTCAGTTGGTCTGAAGAGGGATCATTATGATCAGGCCTGGCAGCTTTCCACTTCGATTTCCTCTCAATCGTATGAGCAGTTTTGGGGAGGAGACTGGAATGGACACATTTCAGGTTTTGAAACAGATCTTCGACATGTTGGAAACTTTGGCTTGTGTACTCCCACCACATCGGGAGGTCGTGTCCTAAAAGAATTTCTTGTTCGATCTTCTCTTCGGCACGTTGACTCGCATCGGCGTTTCCCTTGTAGGGGCACATGGAGACACAATCAAACAAAAGCCTGGTATGAACTAGATAGCTTTGCTGTTTCTGAGTCTCTGTTCTCGTCTGTGCAGAGACGCATGTTCACTTTCTCCTTGCAAGGTGTTTCTGATCACATGGGGAAAGGTTTGCGGTTGCAGCTCGGCTCCCTTCAAGCCCGTGCGACTCGTTTGAAACGACGTTTTTACTGGCAGGCTCTCCAACAAAAGCAGTGGAGGTCTCGCAATGGTTTGAGACGAAAGTGTCACCACAGCATCTTGCAGGGCGCCACAGCGGACGCTGCCGCTTTGCGTCAGGACTATGCTTCTTTGGTCACACAGAAACTTGCCGCTAAGGGTCTCTCCTGTTCTACCCCAGTTGTTTTTGATGTCTCTTGCGAAGGTTGGGAAGAATCGCGTTCCGACGTAATGCATGTGTATACGGACGGAAGTGCTGAGGGCTCATCCTCCACAGCGGGATGGGGGGTCGTGCTTTGGCATCGCAACCACACGCGCGAAGCTTGTGGCCCTGTGGTTGTCGATGAAAACCTGCCTCTTTTTCTTGGGGCGGAAAGAACTTCCAACAACACGGGGGAGCTTTCCGCTGTGATGCATAGCTTCCTCATGCTTCTTTCTCTTCCCGAAGACACTTGTCCCAAACATGTTGTGTTTCACTATGATTCAGAGTACGCCGCTAACGTTGCCCAGGCTCAGTGGTCCCTTCGCAGAAATGTTGCCTTGGCACGGTATGCCCAGAAACTTTTGTGTCAAGTGCAAGCACGGTGTGTTGTGCACTGGAAGTGGATCAAAGGCCACACTGGCAATATAGGTAATGAACGTGCCGACGCTCTTGCTGCTCGAGGCCGAAGCGGTGAGTCTGTCCCATTTCCTTGTGAAGGTGCTGTTCTGGATGCTCCCGACGCGGTCGGGCCACGACGACGATGTGCAGGCAAAACTTCCATCCGTGCCACGGCGCCGGCTGTGACACAGGTACCGCCTCCTGACGTTTCTTGGGACGAGCTGGCCGATGTTTTGACAGGTGCTATTGATTCTTTGTCCGGAGCAGTTGTTGACACGCGTCGAGGTGCTCCTCTTGCTCCTTCGGACAAACATCGACTTTCATTTCTTGACCAGCACGTTGCAGATTCTTGGGAAGCTGTTCGAAAAGTTCAGGGTTCTTCAGAGGAGCCGGCAGCATTGCAGAGCTGGCGTTTGTCTAAAAGAAGGCGTAAAGACTTTCTTAGAAAGGCGCGTAGCCGCTATGTTCAGCATGTTGTTTCTTCCTTGAATGACGCCTTGAATAAGCACGATTGGTCCCGATTCTATGCACAGCTCCGTCGTCTAGGTCTTTCTTTCGACGGGATGGATTTTACCGGTTCTGCACCTTTTTCGTTAACACAAATTCGTGAGCACAATTTGAACGTTTCTGCCAATTCCAAATCGGTTGATTTTGCTGTGATTGATCGGGCCGCTCCTCAGCTGCCGACATGCCACGAGCTTGGAGACCTTCCTACCTGGCCAGAGTTTCTGACGGCCTTGAATGGTGTGAAAGAAAGCTCTCCCGGAAAAGACGGAGTTTCCGCTAACATGCTCAAATTCGGTGGCCCTCTTGTTCACCAGCAGGTCTACCGGACTGTTTGTGCTATGTGGTCCACACCCGCTACAGAATGGGCCCCTGGTTTGAAAACAGGCTTGGGCATTCCTCTTTTCAAATCTGGTAACCGCGATGACTTAGATAACTACCGAACCATTGTTTTGCTCCCTATGATTTCTCGAGTACTAGGTCGACTTCTATCCAGACGCATTTCTGAATATGCCGAAAAACACGGCCTCTATTCACAAACGCAGTATGGCAATAGGAAACACCGCAGTGTGCAAGACGCGCTCTTCACGGTGCGCACCACTCTCGAATTGGCAGCCGAAGTGGCGCACCACCCTGAGCTCAGTTACGATGCTGCCGCCCAGCTAGTCGTCCTGCTTTTCGACATCAAAAAGGCATTTCCTAGTGTAAATCGTGAAGCAGCCTTTCACTTGTTTCGACGACATGGTTTTCCTTCTTCGTTGATTCAGTTATTGGAGTCCTTGCACGCCGGTACTCAGTACCAGGTCTCTACGTCGGCCGGCTTGTCCGATCCTTACATGCTGGCCTCTGGTTTTAGGGAAGGTTGTAGTACCAGTCCGTGCTTATACACCTTGTTTCACGATTGTGCTATGCGAGAGTTTGCAAAGCGAGCTCGCCGTTTGTCCCGAGCTCATCCTGAGTTTTTTGTCGATTTGCACTCTTGGGGTGGACGCCCCCTCAATCGCCGCATGAACAAGCATCAGATTCCGTCCTTGCCTAAAGTGCTACAGTCTGGACATGACTTGACACCTGTTTCTCTGCTTGATGTCACTTTTGCTGATGACACCTCTCTCCTTTGTCGGGAGGCTGGCCGCTCACAGCTTGAAGACTTGCTTACCAACACTTTACATGAGTTTGGGGAAACCATCAAAGCCGGCAAAACAAAACGCCTCAAAGTTGCACGCGGAGATGTTGACCCGCATTTCGTTCCTAGTGCTCGCCTGTTGGGCGGCTGGCTTTCCTATGCAGCCGACTACGTTGTCGAGGACAGTAAGCGCCTTGTGGCAGCCAAGCAGCTTTGGTGTAGACTCAGTCGACAACTTCCGAGGTTCGGTCTGGGCCCCAAAATTTTAGGTCAGCTCATCTATGCCGGGGTGCTCAGAGCGCTATTGTTTGGTACCGAGTCTAGATGTGTCAGTGGCAAAACTATCCGTAAGTGGCAGTGTTTTCTTAATGGTATTGCGCGTTTTGCATGCAGGCAAAAGCTTCGCACCATGCAGGAGGACCATGTGACGCAACAAGATCTAAGTAACCAATTAGGACTCAAGAAAATCGCCACATATGTAGGTTCCGGACAATTGGCATATCTTGGACACCTTGTTCGCCTCCCTGAGGGTCGCATCGAAAAGCAGATGTTGTTTTCTTGGCTTCCCCGCGAGGCCATGTTTGCGTCTTTTAAGGGAGCTATCTCCTCCCGCCAGACTTTCTGGAAGCGCCTTCGAGAGTTGTTGGCTCTTTCGGATCTTCCTGAGGCCCAGTGGCAAGACGGCTGGGTCGCTCTGGCCCAAAAACAAGGAGGTGTCGTTTGGAATGCCTTGATTCGCAAGTGGGTTCGCTGGCAGGAATCCTTAGCTCAGCACGATACCTGGAATGCTCGCCACACCGACGCTGCGCGCCTTGGGCGTCAGCAGGCTGCTTACGACAGAGCCTTCCAAGAGTTAGGTGTACATAGGCTTCCTTGTGGCAGGTACAAGTGTGGTTACGAGGGTTGTTCCATCGTACAAACCTTGCAGGGCATGCGACAGCACACTGTTGTTTGTAAGAACTTGAGTGTAGCTCAGAGACAAACACGTTCGGAAGCTGCTGCGGCTTCTGCACCAGCCGCACCCTCCCGACCTGCAGATGCAGCTCGGGTTGAGCCTTTGGATCTTGCACCCACGGGTCCTCGCACTCGTTTGCTGAGCAAGCAGGCTCGTCCAGTTGCCTTTGAAAAAACTGCTTGCCAGGCCACTGTGCATGATGTCACCGCATGTACTTCCTTTGACATTAAAGCCACTTTGGATCATTATGCCTCACAGCACATGACACGCAGATATCATGGTGCTCAGTTGCAGCGGGCCATTACGCTGACTGACTTGCCACCCCCACACACCGATGCATCGCTGCACTCGAATCAATGCCGTTTTTGCTGGAAACATCTCAAGTCAGGCTCAGAACGGGTCAAGCACAGCCGCTGTTGTCAAGCCATGCCATATGACGGCTGGCTCTTCCGGGTTCGGGTCACCTTGTTGCCCCAAACGCCTCGCACCTTTCCGTGCACACATTGCGGTACGCAGTTCAGTGTCCCTAAAGCTGCGGGCAGGCATTCGGTCGAATGCGGAAAAAGGCGGCAGCGACAAAACTTGCCCCTGAATCTCAAGCAGTGGCACGATCTGCCACAGGAGCCTACTTGTTAGCCAGGGTTTGTGCATTCACGGTTTGCAGTATTCGATGTCACTCCCATGTTGTTCGTTGATTATTTTCTTGGACATGCAAGTGAAGATTCATTCTGTTTTTTGGCCATGTCGGCGCAAGCTGTTTGTGGCCTGCCCTTTCATTTTCCCTAGTAAGTTACACAGAGCACCATGGCTAGTGCCTTGGACATCCTCAAGAAAGCCCAAGGTCTTCAGGAAGGCGACAGTTCGAGGCTCAGCAAGCGCCCCAGATCCGCTGCTCCTGCCTCTTCAGCTGCCTCTAGCCAAGAGATAACTGCTGTCCTCGAGCGCGTCGTGCGTTTGAGCCTTTCCAACGCCGAAAAGACAGAGGCCGTCGCAAGCGCGACGAATTTGGTTCTGCTTGTGAAACAGGAATCCGATATCCAACAGCTGCAGGCCCAGGCCACTCTCTGGGTGAACACCAAGCCAGACTGGAGGCCGGGTGCTACGGACAACCGTCCCCATGAACTAGGGGAAAAGCGGGTCTTTATGCTGTTGGTGCTTCTCCAAATGATGCAGGATGACAACGCTTTGGAGGGCGAACCGGTCAAGACAGCTATTCAGCATCTCCTCTCTTTGCTTCCCAGCGACCTGTCGCGCTGGATTGGCTCCTTCAAACCTCGCTATGCGGAACCCAAGAGTGGACGTGCTTGGGTCTGGGAGCTCTCTTGTTCGAGTTTGCTGCCGGAAGACACCCGATCGGCCCTTGATACCCTATGCAAGACCATTGACAGCTCTCGTTGGAAGGTTGCCCCTCACCGCTGGGGCCAAACCGGCCTTCAGAAAGCTGTTTGGGAGGACCTGAAGAAACTGTCCTGCTCACGCCAAGGGGCGTGAACGGTCAGGTGGTGGTGCTTTGATTTGTTTTTGCATGCCGAATTGAGCGCAGCAATCGCAAGCCTTTGGATCGGATCGATTTGAGGTTCCTTGCCTGGCCTTCTTCTTCGGCTTGAAGAGATGACTATTTCTGTGCATTTTTCTCCTTTTGCAAAGCCGGGATTGTTGCCTCCTCTCGGATCGATGGCAGCTACAGTTCTGGGTGTTTTTCTTACTACACCTTTTTTCACTTACGGCTACGGTGCTGGACGTCTGGCTTATACCCGGATGTCCCTTCAGGCATCTGCGCGAGCTCTTCCTTGGCTTGAGGAGTGCTCACTTCGGTGGCTCTTTGTGTTTGGCAGGAGCTCCTTTGTGTTTATTGATGGTTTTGCAGCAGCTCTTCTGTGGCGAAGCAACCTGTTGTCGAAACGGTCGGCAACAGGAACGTGATCCCACGGACACCGATGGGATCTTCGCTCCTGGCACGGGCTCTTTTTTAGGATTCTCTTTCACGACTTCAGGTGTTGGCCCTCATGGGCCTGCGCAACCACCTTCTATGGAAACTTCTTCCAGTCAGGATCCTTGAAGTACTGGTTGCTTCTAGTGGCTTGCACTGTTTTAGCTTGAAATGAACAGTCACCAATACCTTTCCATCCTTGGCAGGATGCATAGGAATGGAAGACTGTCACGTAACTCATTCCCTTAGGACAATAGCAGAAACAATTCATATTCACATCAAAGTTAAAAATCGGATTCTTCAACGAAGAAATGAACTTCTGCAAAAACAAACAAAACTTGTTTCCCTTGGGAACAGTCACAAACACATGTTTCTTCCTTCTCAACTGCCACTC